GACCCTATTTTGAAATTGGCATCTTTTTTATTTTGCGTGAAATTGGCCAAATTGCCAATTTCTGACCACCATATTGGGTAGTCCAAATTAGTAAATGGGAGGTTTCTTGTACTCAGCTGATAGATAAAATGGAGTTCTAAAGAAATAGCTATGAGTTTGGTCAACTGGAACAATGGAATTGGCTGAAAATTGGGCTCAAAGTCGGCGAAATCGCCGATACGCATATGTCGCCGAGACCGCTAACTTCGCGGGACCATAATTCCACGAGTTTTCGACCAAATTTCGAACTTTTGGTGTCATTACCATCGGGAAAAGATTCTCTATCATTTCATAAGAAAAAATAATTTTTTTTTTTTTTCAAAAATTGAGCGACATAGAATGACAGTTTCAGAGGGGGGCCTGAAACAGTCAAAGGGTTAACAAATCCATTGAATCCTCCACCTTCCCTACAGTACTCAAAATAGCAAGGGTCACCCCAATCCATAAAGGAGGAGACCAAACAGACTTGAATAACTATAGGCCAATATCCAAACTTACAACCTTTCTCTAAAATCTTTGAAAAATTAATTCATAAGCAAATCTATTCCTACCTCATCTCCCACAACATACTCAACCCCTGCCAATTTGGGTTCAGGCCTAATAAAAATACTAACGATACTATTATACACATGCTAGAACACACATACACTGCAATAGAGAAAAAAGAAGTCCCATTGGGGATCTTCATTGACTTAAAGCTTTTGATACAGTTGACCATGATTTGCTCCATATAAAATTGTCGCACTATGGTATAAGAGGGCACTCCCTCAGCTACCTAAAGTCTTACCTCGGCAACAGAAGCCAATATGTGTACACAAACGGGGCAGACTCATCCGCACAGCCACTTACAGTTGGTGTCCCACAGGGAAGTGTCCTAGGGCCCTCTTCTCTTTCTCATATACATAAATGACCTACCAAATGCATCGCAACTACTCAAACCCACACTATTTGCACATGACACTACATACGTCTTCTCTCACCCGAGCCCAGTCACGCTAGCCAATACTGTAAATACCGAATTACAGAAAATATCCACCTGGATGAGGACTAACAAACTTACTCTAAACATTGACAAAACCTACTTCATTCAGTTTGGTAACAGAGCTACAGACGTCCCTCTTAACATAATGATAAACAGATCACCTATCACAAAACTCACAGAGGGAAAATTCTTAGGAATCAACCTTGATAATAGACTCAAATTTCAAACACATATACAACAAATTTCCAAAAAAAATTCCAAGACTGTAGGCATACTATTGAAGATACGGTGCTATGTTCCACAGTCAGCCCTCCTGGCCCTATATCACTCACTTATTTACCCCTATCTCACCTATGGAATTTGTGCATGGGGCTCAACAACAATACCATCTCAGACCATTAGTTACCCAACAAAAGGCTGCAGTCAGAATGATAACAAATTCCCACTACAGGCAGCACACTCCACCAATATTCAAAACTCTAAACCTATTCACCATACAAAATATCCATACTTATTACTGCACCTATTACATACATAGAACACTTAACTCTGATATAAACCCTCCCCTCAAACATCTTACCAACCTCAACAGAACACATGACCATAACACAAGGCACAGATCACTCTTCGATGTTCCTCGTGTCCACCTCACGCTATGCAAAAACTCAATGCACATAAAAGGCCCAAAAATCTGGAATTCATTACCTGTGAATATAAAAGAAGCACTGTCTGTTTATAAATTCAAGTCTCTTCTCAAAAATCACTTACTCACCCACAACTAAATAAATACTAAATAATTGTATCACATAAATTGTATCTCATAAATGTTTCTCATTATTGTATCTCATAAATGTCTAACCTGTGACCCAATCAAAATTTGTTATTTTTTTAATTATATTACCTAACAGAATACTCCAATCTACTGAATGCTCAGCAACACAGTAAATGACCATATATGACCTGTCTTTGTAATACTCATTTGTGCTAAATTGTTATCTGTTTGCAATAATGTTTTTACCACTGAATATATCATTGCTTAATTAATCTTAAGTTAATTTTAAGTCTGCCCATAATGCTCTGCATACAAGGGGCTTTGGCATGTTGCACTTTAATAACTGTATTCCTTTGTACTTCTCTGTATCATGTTCAAATAAATAAATAAATAAATAAATAAAATAAAACAATAAAGTGTAGCATTAAGAGTGTAGTAATTAAGGGTAGCAAGTAACCTGTCTTCCACCCTCCACCTCCCCCATTGTACATACACTTTATGAAACCAGTTTATTTCTTTACATTCTCTATTATATTTTATTGTTTTTATGCAATATTTCTTATTTATAAATGCATTGTTTCATTGTTTTCCTTATGAAACTAGTGATCTAGTGCAGTTAGCCTCACAAACACCATTTTCAGAAGGGGAAGAATGGGAAGATAAGGTTAGTGCGACAGCGGCAATGGCCGCCACCACTCGCCATATTATGGCCTATTTTATTCATTCTAGAGTATATATTATGTTTCTGTGTTATTTATATTGTTTATTGTGTCATATTAGATCAGTTGTGATAGATAAATAAGCTGTAGAGTTAATATTTGCATTATATTGAAGTATTTTGTCCTGCCTTCCAGGAGCAGGAATTCCCCTGGAACGGATTAATGGCATTTCAGTTAATTTAAATGAGAAAAATTGATTTGATATATGAGCAAATTGAGTTACGAGCTCGGTCATGGAACGGATTAAACTTGTAAGTTGAGGTTCCACTGTACTTGAGTTTCACTGAACAATAACAAAAACAACTGTTTATGTCTCCAGCTAGAAGGAAGAATTTATCTTTACAATCTATTTTGCACATTTTATTATTGAAAGTAACTCTTACATATACAGCCTCTCCTCACTTAGCGATGTACTCGTTTACCAACAACTCAGGCTTACGGCGAGTTCTCTGACCAGTATGCATACCTTAATAATGTATATTAGAGCTGATTTCCTCTATTGTGTTTATTACAATATACAGTACACTACTGTATAAACATTTAAAAATATACCAGAAATGTTATAAATGGTGCAGAGGTTGACACAAACCCACTACCATTGTAGTATGCTCCTCACTTAGCGACAAATTCGTTTACCGACGAGGTCTTATAAACAGAACTCTGTCATTAAGTGAGGAGAGGCTGTATATGAATTAAATTATTGGTGATAATAATCTCTGAATTAGAATGTGATAGATTTATATTCCTAATCTCATTACTGTTAGTTTTATTGCTTTATTATGCACCCTGCACCTATCCCATGGGCGGTAGTCACCCCACGCCCATCTTGTGGGTGATAGTCACTCCATGACCATCTTGTGGGCGATAGTCACCCCATGCCCATCTTGTGGGCGGTAGTCACCCCATGCCCATCTTGAGGGCGGTAGTCACCCCATGCCCATCTTGCGAGTGGTAGTCACCCCATGCCCATCTTGCGGGCGGTAGTCACCCCATGCCCATCTTGAGGGCGGTAGTCACCCCATGCCCATCTTGCGAGTGGTAGTCACCCCATGCTCATCTTGCGGGCGGTAGTCACCCCATGCCCATCTTGCAGGTGGTAGTCACTCCATGCCCATCTTGTGGGCGGTAGTCACCCCATGCCCATCTTGTGGGCGGTAGTCATTCCATGCCCATCTTGAGGGCGATAGTTACCCCATGCCCATCTTGTGGGCAGCAGTTACCCCATGCCCATCTTGTGGGTGGCAATCACCCCATGCCCATCTTGTGGGCAGCAGTCACCCCATGCCCATCTTGTGGGTGGCAGTCATCCCATGCCCATCTTGTGGGCAGCAGTCATCCCATGCCCATCTTGTGGGCGGCAGTCATCCTATGCCCTTTTTGTGGGTGGCAGTCATCCTATGCCATCTTGTGGGCAGTAGTTAAAAAGTTAGCAGTACATAATGCAACTTGTCCTCCAAATGTTTCTTCCGTTGTCACATGTTACATCACATTAGTTTCTGTACATTCTAAGTCATGACAGAAATTTAATATTACTGGCCATTAGTCACACTAAGCCATAAAATGCGGGGGTATGCTTTATCTAAAATAATCAGATCTTTGTTTAACCCCCAGCCATAAGATGCCGGGTTATATTTTCTGGCCTCAAAAGTAAGATTAATTTTTTTTTCTGCATTAATATTAAATACATGCAGTGTTTTCATAACCTGTGAGTCAGCAGTAAGCCTACTGGCCCATGCTAGACAGATTCTTCTCAAAACCAACCCTTTCCACTTGTATATTTATTCTACTAATCTACAATATTATTATATTTAGGAGGGAAGCACTAAACCTATAAGATTATAGTGTCATGAATAAATAAATGAGATATGAATAATGTTTAACAGATATCTAACCAAGACAGAACTCACAGCAACGGGTTCAAGTTGGAAAAAAATATATTTAGAGAGGATATAGGAAAGCTATATAATGGTTGGGTGTAAGCTTTGCCTAGCATGGGCCACTAGGCCTAAAGCAATGCTGTATTTTACAGCAATGCTGTATTTTGCTGCATTTTACAGCAATGCTGTATTTTGATTATTTTTACATATTTTTTTTTTTTTTTGGGTAGAATGTGGGAGATAACTCTAGATACATTTATTAAAAAAAAAAAAGAAAAATGCGAGTTATGGCCAGTAGTAGACGGTAGTTATTTTAGTTTGGATTAACCTAACTTAATATAACCTGTTTTAACATATTGTTTACCACTATTAACAAAATTCTATAAATCAGTGGCTTACGTTTGGCAGCGCAGGGTACCATCACTCTCTGAAATCATTGGCTACCCCCCCTGCTCTCAGAATTGGAAGACAGGCTACATAATGGTCTATTATATATTAAAAATTTTGCTATTTTATTCAGAGAGAGATAAGCATATCCAGTAATATCAGAGAGATTGTACATTATTTATGATTACTGCATCACATTGATTGGCTGTCACACATGCTTACAGGCTATTATGAAGCAACCAATCATTGTGGGTTCAGGAACTCAGCTTTATATTCTACCAAACACATTCCAGGTAAATGCTTAAATCATTATTGTAGTGTGAATATTAAAATTAAATGTTGGCAAATGCTTATAATAAACCTTTATGGGCATTTTTTAAATATATAAAATTATTTTAGTTTCATTCCTTTATTGTATGGGTCTAAATAGTTTATCACAATAATTGAGTGAATGTGTTAGAAGCAATGTTTAGACCAATATCTGTCAATGTAAGGCCCTTGTATTATGCACTTGGTACCTGTTTACCTGGCCAGCTGATTGTGAGCTGTAACTGGTAGTATCACTCATGCCATATACTTCATAATTATTCCTCTGAGCTTTGACTAGTAGCACCAGCATCAGTTTTTGCCTACCCTATGTATTTTGTTTACCTTTAATTTTGCCATTTATAATATACTTCAAATAACTTTCTCTTTGTAGTGGTTAAGTTTTAAGCCTTAGACATGGTATTTGCTATGGTAATTAGAACTAAAGTGCTAGATATAATGTTTTCGTTAGTATGAGAATATATCCTCAAAGCATTTATAATGTATGTATTTGATTTCAAGCTTTATTGATATAGTAGTACAGTATGTCATTAATATTTTTATTATGTCTGGCAAACCATGATTGTTTTTGGTTATATTTTTGTGCATATCTTCCATTTAAAAACCTTAATCTTCATAACAACTACATTGTTAACCCTCATTAATCTCTGTATATGAAAGTCTTAACAGCTTTGGAAAATGCTCATCATACTCAAATTTGTGTCGAAATTCCTCACGTATTTTCCTACACTTTTAGCATTTCTTTTCTCATGTCTTTACTTTTTCACTGAAGTCATGGCTCTTGTAGTTTACCAAATTTAAATTCACTTGCATTGAAATTAATTATATTTTAGTATTGCCACTTCTTTCCACAATACATGTTTTTTTCTGAAATTATCATGCTGGTAGCCTTCCAAACTTAATATCACTTTCGTTAGACTTCCTTGTATTGTGACTCTGTTTTACTTACTGCAGGCTCAAGCAAATGTAGAGGGCCGAGCTGCCGTGATAGACCCCTAGTAATGAAGGTATTAAGCACCAGCAGCTACTGTAATAAGGCAGAAGTTCACAATCTTGGCATTTATCTTTCATTTAACTGTGCCTCATTGAATGTAGTCCTGAAACCAGTACAAGTTGAACATGCATGAGGCTTTCTTCAGTTACTGATCAGTAAACACTACATGCTCAACTTTATCCATTTCTCTCTCAGAATTTACTCTTAGTTTTTCACTCATCATAACTAAACCACCACTTACCTGTTCCATTAACTATTCATAATGAAATACTGTGTAATATAGCCTTTTGTTAAAGCTACAACTGTTTACTGTGATTACTTATATGTACTTAACCCCTTTTTGGCTTTATCTTTGTAAATAAATTCTTACTTTTAATTATCCCCAATATTTATCATTTTACTATGAAACATATGGGTTCTATCATTTTGTTTTGGTGACCATGGACTTTGTTATATCCTTTCTCTGTTGGTTGTGCTCTTAACTTTCTTGTTGTTCTTATCCTTGTATGAATTCTTTACAGCCCTTTTCTTGCTCACCCATTAATCTTGCTTCATTTCCCTCCACTACCACCCAGATGTTATTATCCTTCTACCTTACTACTACTCATCTCAAGGCCTTTTAGTGAAGAGTAACTACTTTATCACTCTAGCATTCTTTCCAAGTTGTAAGTGACTGTTCCATCTACCACCATTGCTGTCTTAGTACTGATACTACTCCGTAGTGTTTATCTAGGCTATTTTTCTCTGTAGTGTTCATAGCTCTTATCTAGTACTTTCATTTTCTTTCACTTTATAGAATTTGCCATGAATGTTATGTAGCTCATAAGTCTGTTAGATCGTATTTGCCTGCATGTTGTAGCAAATGTTATAAACTTTGCTTAGTTATAATTCATATTTGAATATAATTTTATTTCGTGCAGAGAAAATATTGCATTTTTGCCCTTGTATCTGACTACTGTAGTCATTGGTTTAAGTATTCTAGTATAATATTTGATATGTATAAATTAAGCAGTTGAACCAGGCCTGCATGTGCCTCATGGTCTTATATTGAACAATACCAGTAAGTGCAGGCACCCAAGTGACCTTGAAGTTTCGGCAGCTATAAAGGGAAACGAAACATCAGTGACGTACAAGCCAGATTTTCGTATTCGAGTATAGATGAGTTCGTGGTACAAGACGACAATCAGAATAGTTCAATCCTTGAATGATAATACAAACGGTTTAGGTATTTTTTTGTAGTTCTTACTACCATGGTAGGTGAATATAGATAGATTTCAAGAGTATGCCTGCTCATGTTCAGGATGGTGAAAGAGATTTGGGCTGGCTTGTATATAGTTATTTGGTTTGGCTCAAAAGAAATAAACTGTGCCACTATATGCAGTATTCTCCAAGGAAAATTATGAGTCATTTGTTTTTACAAATTTCTTTGGAAACTCTTCTCAGCAATAAACTTCAGTATACAAAATTCAGAGTTAAATTCATATCATTCCTTGAACTCATATGAGAATCATTGTTGTGCATTGCTCTCAAATAACTGGGAATTGATAGTGGGAAATTTATTGAACATTTCACTGCACTTTGGGAAAATAATATAATCTAAAAATGGCATAAACCACATGAGCAATTTTGTTAAAAGCAAATACAGTGTGAACCTTGGCTTCGAGCGGTAATCTGTTCCGTGACCTTGTTCGTCCTGTGCTGAGTTCAATTTTCATCATTTAAATTAATTGAAATGCAATTAATCCATTCCAACTATCAGGAGGCAAGACAAAAATAATGCTAATAGAAGAAACTATGCGCTTAGATTATCTATCACAATTCATCTACTATGAATAATAAACATATTAATAACATAGAAACATGATACAGTGGTAACCCCGAGTTTCGTACAACTCTCAACTCGAAACAATTAAGGATCAGGTTTATAACTATTTTGATGTGACCAGACTAAAACAGCAACAAGGGGGGGGGTATGGGGGCGGGTGGCCTGTCTGTCCAGAGTCGCTCATGTGCACAGAAACTCACCAACACCTCAAATGATGTCGTTGAAGTTTTGGCAGTAAAGATTGAAAACCCAAAACCTTGTCATTGTGGTGTATACAAGCTCCAGAGGGAGACTTCCAGCAATTCAGGAGAAGCTTGAGAAAATTGTCCTTATTGGAAAAATATCCCAAAATCTGCCCCAAACATTAACTACTAGGAGATTTCAACTTCAGACACCTAAAAATGGAGGAAGTATAGCGCAAAAAAATGTTTTACCCGAGATCACCATGGGAGGCTGCTCAATTGACATTCACACACCACATGAATATTATAAATCTCTGCACCAAATTCACAGTAGAAGACTAACAAATCTAGAAAATATGCTGGACCTATCTTCACTAACAATGACAATTGATACGTAATTCTAACTGTTATCAAAGACAATACACTTAGTCAAACATTAATAGAGGTACAGACATGTTTGCATCAGGGCTTGGACCAGCAAATGAAATTCAATTTCAATATACAAAAGAATACAATGGGATCAAGTAAAACCATGTCTAAAATTGAAACCAAGTTGGGAAGGATATCCTATAAAACATGGATCTGAACATTTGCTTGAAAAAATATGAATTCTGTGGTTCTTGGAGACTCTGCTCAAGGAATTCCATAGAAAAAAGAAAGCAGAGGAAGTAAACTAGAGAGAGAGAGATTTCCTTCGAAGGCGAAGATGTCACAGAGTGCTGAGTGGGGCAATATATATGAAATATGAAGGGAGGCTCTAGTTCGATGAAAATTTAATTATCAAATTTATGCTGATAGGTATCTTATAGAGTCAGGAATCACAGGCAGAACTAAAAGCTATAAAGAATTATTTTTTCTATTTTATTATCACACTGGCGATTCCCCCAGGCAGGGTGGCCCGAAAAAGAAAAAACTTTTCACCATCATTCCACTCCATCACTGTCTGCCAGAAGGGTGCTTTAACCACTACAGTTTTAAACTGCAACATTAACTCCCCCTCTTCAGAGTGCAGGCACTGTACTTCCATCTCCAGGACTCAAGTCGGCCTGCAGGTTTCCCTGAATCATTCTTAAATGGTTACTTTGCTCACACTCAACTGACGTCCAGTTAGTAAAAAACCATTTGTCTATTTCACTCTATCAAACACGCTATCGCAGGCTGCTGGAAGTCCAAGCCCCTCGCACCCTCACTAAACTCCTTTACCCCTCCCTCCATCCCTTCTAGCCGACCCCTACCCCGCCTTCCTTCCCCTAAGATTGATACACTCTTGAAGTTATGTCTTATAGTTTCGCTCCATTCTCTTACATGTCACCGAACACCTCTAACAACCTTCTCAGCCTCTGGACAACAGTGCTTAGGGTAATCCCGCACATCTCTAACTTCCAAAACTACGATTACTTGCATTAATATTCAACCACACATTGCCTCACGACATGACATCTCCACTGCCTCCAGCCTTCTCTCTCGCTGCAACATTTCATCACCATGCTTTCACACCCATTTAGCAGCGTTGGTAAAACCTATACTCTCATACATTCCCCTCTTTGCTCCAAGGGCAAAGTTCTTCTGTCTCCCAGGACTTAAGTGCACCACTCACTCTTTTCATCATCATTCTATGATTCACTCATCTCTTCTTAGACCCATTCCGCTGACAGTCCACTCCCAAATTTATCTGAATACGTTCCCTCTCCATATCTCTCCCTACAATCTATATTCAAATCTTCATCACTTAACTTTTTGTTATCCTCATAACCGTTACTCTTTCTGTATTCACCTTTAATTTTCTTCCTTTTGCACACCTACCAAATTCATCCACCAATCTCTGCTGCTTCTATTCCGAAATCTCCCAAGATGCACAGTGTCATCAGCAAAGAGCAGCTGTGACAACTCCCAGCCCTGTGTGTGATTCTTTATCTTTAACTCCACGCCAATTGCAAGACCCTCGCATTTTATTCTCTTACCACCATTATAAATATATAAACAAACCAAGGTGACATCACACTTCCTGTTAAGGCCTACTTTTATGAAGGAAAAAATTTCACCCTCCTTTTCTCAATACTCTACTTGAGACCTTCACTATCCTCGTAAAACTTTCATGCTTTTCAGTACCTACCTCATAACAGTACACTTGCAAATCTGCCACATTGCCCCCTATCACCCTGTATAGCCTTTTCCAAGTCATAAATGCCACAAAGACTATTTAGCCTTCTCTAAATACTGTTCACTAAATATGTTTCACTGTAAACACTGGTCACAACCCCCTACCTTTCCTAAAGTCCTCTTCGAAAAAAAAAAAATACTTTTTCTTATGCCAAATTAAGGGGGAAAACATACATCAGTATTGGGCCCTGCTTAGGTGGTGATGGGACATACACAGATGACAGCCAAGCAATGAGTGAGCTACTTAAGTCCCTGTTATGACTCAGTGCTCAGCGAGCAACTGACCAGATGGAGGTGTGGACATCCAAATGAATTCTTTATGAAACAAAGCCAAAAATTTGGTTCATCCCAAAAATCTCGGAATATCTATTCTAACTCACAAAAACTTTGAAGAGGGCGGCAAAACATCTTCAAGGGGGGACTCCTTGGGTGGGTGGAAGAGGCTCTTGGTTGAGGAAATTAGCCAGTCGGTCTTCTTCCTCAGACAGAACCTTAATTTCAATTTCTTCCCCTCCCCTATTCCATTCCCCATCCCTCCCTTTTTTCCATTCATCATCCTCCTCTCACCCCTCCCTTTTGCCCTTCCTCTTTTTTGCTTCTGTGATTTCTCCCACAGGCGAGCTCTAGTTCCTAGTGTAGGGGAGGAAAGGACACCGGGGTCCATCTCCCCATTCCGTTGAGGTTTCTTTGGCGGTGGCGTGTTTGCCGTGAGATCTGGCTTGCCTAGGGATGTCCGATCCTCTTCGGTATCCTGGAGTTAGCTTTGGGTGTCTTTGGGCGGAGGGTGTACTATGGAAGCCACCTTACGGATTCGGGGGCTAGGCTGGCTGAAGGAGAGGTACTGCT